GCCACAGTCCAGGCAGCCAGATACACCAGCACCAGCCACCTGGAGACTGGGAGGGCCACTCTTGGGGTGACGCAGAAGAAAGGAATCTCCCAGTAGGTAAGAGGTGGTGGAAGAATTCATCCGCAGACCTACCTAGAATAATTAAAGACGCTGAGTGTTAACCCCAGTTTCTTGGTTCTTGTTGTTTTTTTTTTATTAGCACCCTGTAACCCTCCTTTGCAGAAATATTTGGGCAGGTAAGGGTAACCTCTAAGCGTGCGATTAAGGCTAGTGTGGCCGGGCAGCTTTGTATGGTAGGTGGAATCTGTGTTTAATGAGGGCTTAAACCCAGATGAGAGCCACGAAGTGTTCAGTCTGGGGGATTCCTGGCTTCTTTTGTTCAAAAGTTACAGTGCAAAGTTTGCACCATGTGTTGGCAATGTTCTAAACATGACACAACAATCAGCCTGCAGAGGGTAATTTCTCAATGCCTTTTCATGACGCCAGGGTTCAGCAAACTCTATAATGACCCACCCAGCCTCCTACCACAATACCCAAGTCTTTTTATAGTCACAGGTAATTACACCATGGAGAGATTACATCACTTTGTCAGCAGGGTTTGCAGCTGACAGGAAGATGCTCTGCGGATGTTTTGGGAACTACAGCCTCATTTAGCAAACAATTTGCTGCGGTGCCCATTGTTCCTTTCCAAGAATAGAACTGCTTTGGCAAAACTTGTGCCTAAAGTGGGACCCAAACAACTAAGGACCGCTGTAGATGAGGAACAGAAACAACCACAGGGGTAAACACGGTAACCCAGAGATGACTTCTGCATCCTTTATCCAGGGAAGAAAACAGACGATGTCTTTCTTCTCCTGTCAAAATAATCCTCTGAAGGTCGATTCAAGTGCTGCAATAGAGCAAGACAAGAAACAGGCCTCAGAGAAGCCTGCCACTCAGCACAGGTAGTAACCTTCTCAGCAGAGCATGGGCAACAGAGTCAGACAGACTGGGCACAAATCCCAGCCAGTTTCACCACCTACAACTGTCTGTCTCTGAGCAAGTGATCTAACCTCCCTCTACCCCAGTTTCTCATTCGTAAAACAGTTACATGACCGTCTAGCTCACAGGCATTCTGAGAGCTTTAAATGTGATGGTAACGCAGAGCCTGACACACAAATGATGCTCTATATACATCATTTCCCCACCTGGCCACTCTTCCCAGCTCAGTGTATGTTACTTGACTCCAGGTCCCTTCAGAGATGGTGAGGTGAGCCAGGGCCACCTGCCAACATCTCTTTGCCACAGCAGTCTTAAGGGTCAAACCCGTATCACCTCCCTGAGAGCCTAGTCCTCAACATGCTTCTTCTTCAATGAACACTAACTGCCTGGCTTTCTTATTCTGCAGGTGGCTGCCCCCTCGCTTTAGGTGCTTGTATAATGTTTAACGTGGTCGTCCAGTGTCATGGCAACATCTTAAGGGGGGAAAAGTCAGAAACAAGTAAAATACTGAGTTTTTCAGTAATTATGCTCAGAACAGGGAGAGAATGAAAATCAAAAGCTTTTTATAGGAGTCAGCAAGACAGTTGGGCTGAGATCATCAAACTATGTAAACACGGAATGCAAAGGGTTTTGGAAGTAATCAATCTTTCCTCAGCTGGGCAAGTTTGACACTGCCTCCTGATCCCTTATCCCTAAGCCCAAAAGTGACTCTGCATCCCCAGTTTTGTTTTAAAGGCAGCAGAGGATGTCATCTTCATGAAGTCTCCTGCCCAGCATGACTCAACAGTAGGTCACATACCATCCCTGTTGTTATTATTGCGCTGCGCATTTTATATGTCAAGTGCCCTCCAATATTTTTATTAGTCTACTCAACACCGACCTAACATCCTTGAGGATCTAGTTTCTGTTTTATAGGAGACACAGAGAGGTCAAGTGATTTATCTAAGGTCATACATACAGCAAGTCTCTTAAGATGACAGGTTAAGAGATCTGGGAGAGGCAGCTACACACTTGGGAGCCTAACTCCTCTCTAGCCCAAGAAAGGAGAGTTGGTAGTATGAGCATAGATCTCTTTAATCTGGTCTTGCCCTGCATGGCATGGTGTGTCCAGGTGTGAACAGTAAGACAAGCTTCCTTTTGCTATTCCTGAAAAGGGAACGCTGAATAGTTCTCTCCGTCTCTGCTGAAGGAATGACCAAGGGGGAGCTAACCCCAAAGGCTCCTTCTCCGTTACAACTCCAAATCCCGAGCTGTAGATAAGAGGAACCAGGACGGAAAATCAAACCCCGAACGTGACATACATAACTTTACCTAGAACTCTACCCCAGAACTCTCAAGTACCTCTTAATACGTGATTTCTTTCTTCTAAACATGAGCGATTAGGACCATGCCTAGGAGTGACTGTGGTATTTATGACCAGAGACTATGCGGACAAACTGCCCTCCAGAGGATGCACACTTACTTACATCCAGTGGGATTCTCACAGTCATGAATGTGCGAGGACACACAAGCACATCTACCAGAGCCCACTGGGTAATAAGCACCTCATTTTAAAATGCCTCTGGAATGGGTGTTCATGGGCAGCCACAGGAGCAGATAAGAAATGCAGGAAGAGGAAGAGAGACTTTCCCTGACCTGAACTGCCTTTCCTTGACTTCAGAGTACCTGAGAGTCTTGGTTTCTTGGCAAGCTTGCTTGGCATGCTGCTCACGGCAGGCACGGCCATACAGGTGTGCTCTGGATTTCAGGCCAAGGTGTGAGCACCTCCTTCCCCCAGAAGCCACTCCAGAGAGGGAAAAACATCACAACTTGGTGCACTAGATCTAAGTAATAGTAAAACCCCTTCCCCTGCTTGCACCCTGCTCTGTGTCAGTACATATGTTTTATGGGGAGTAAAAAACACGGGGCAGGGGTGGAAGGGTGGTAGGGAAGGAAGGAATCCTTGCAGATGGGGGAGGAAAGAAAACAACAGAGCCAACTTTCCCACCCTGGTTTGAGCCCACACTACACACACACATTTTTCCATACTGGAGAATAATAATTCCTTTATCCAGCCAGTCTGGAACCATCAGTCCCTGATAATTGATTTCAGACATGGATGGAAAGTTGGGAAGGTGTGGGTAGCTGGAAAATGGGGTGGGGAATGGGAGGAGGAAGGCGGGAAGCCCATCAAAGAGAGAGTGGGGGTAGGAGGGATGGCTTAATGAAGCTAAAGAGGCTAAATACTTCAGACACCAAAGGCAGGTGCTCCGCCCTAACACTGCCACGCAACAGCTTCCCCACTGGAGCCCTGGAAGAGGATGGAGTTTATGGAAACTGAAATATGAGTTTCATATAATTTTTACATATGAAATATTATTGTTTTGCCATTTAAAAATTAAAAAAAAATTCTTAGCTTGCAGGTCGCACAAAAGCAGAGAGCAGGTAGGATCTGGCCTATAGACCATAGTCTGCCAACTTTTGCTCTAAACATATAGCAGTGAGCAAGACAGGGTGTCTATGTTCCACGGTTCTGTGACGGCCACTTCTCAAGGCCTCCCCTGTCTTTGGAGTGGCCCTATGAATACAGGCCCTGCTTTGTCTGTTGCATTGGTGTAGCTCTGGCCCTCTTTTCCTTTGAGACCTCATATAACCATGATGTCCACACCAGTGGTTGTGGGGTTCTAACCACTAGTGTTCCTTTTGGTTCTGCCAGGGCTCCTCATAGTCAAGGAAAGGTTATGGGAAAGGTTTGGGTTAAATGTCAGAATGGAGTGAAGGAGAAGCAGCAGCAGAAGAAATCTGTCTATAGGTGGTGGGGAAGGCTATCATGGAACAAAAAAATCAGTAATTGTTTCTCCCAGTAATTCAGAAGGGAAAAAAAAAGGTTATATGAAATTGCACCATTATCTGCGTAAGTGGGTGGTGGGATAAAAAGGGAATGAAGGAATAGCACAGAGCTATGGGAGCCCTACAAACCTCACTACCCCAACCCCAGCTCCAAGCCCCTCTCCAGAACCTAGCTGAGATGCTGCTGTAGGAACACTGTCCAAAGAAAACTGTCATATACATGTATGTAATGAAGTCTGGTAGGGGCACCGTTACTGGTGAACTCATCTTAATTGAATGAGACCCCTACCACTACTTACAGAGGCAGATTCTGTAGCATCACCCAAAGGTCTACAGTACACATGCAAGCATGCACTTTCTAAAAAGAACACCAGGTCTAAAGGACCACATGAAAAGAACCTAGAAGCATCTTCAGAGCATTATTGAAGGCAGCAAGGGCCATACAAACTCACAGAGGCAAACTGCTGCATTTCTAGTCCTGTTAGGGCTCATCCAGCTCACGATATTCAAACAGAAAGTGCTTAGAATCATGAAAGTACAGAGTGATGAAGCTAGATGTGACTCTAAAGGTGATCCAGGTTAACCCCTTCACTTGACAGATGAAGCTGAGCCACAGCATGGTTAAGTGGCTTGTCCAAGATCACAGAGTTCGTAGTGTCAGTGACCAGGTCTTGCTTTCTCTAAATTACAATACCTCAACTTTGTACTCATGCTGAGAAAAAGAACAAAAAGACGAGAAACCAACAATGAAGAGCTAACGATCATTAAGAGCTTACTGAGTTATGGCAATCTTCACTACCACCCTGAAGCAGGTACCATTATTATCCCATTCTGTAGCTGAGGGAACATTCTGGAGCTTACAGAGAGACTTGCTCCAGATCACAGAGTTAAGCAAGTAGCAGGACTGAGATCTGACCTGCACATCACACTGAATCCTACACCTCCACCCTGCCTACAACCAGGGGAGAGGGGTGAGAATGTCACCATGTCATCCCCAGCAAGTTCCCACACACCCCTCCTCTGGCTGGCTCCATAGGCCCCTTGGTGTAACCCCCAGGGCTGGTTCCTTGCTATCCCACAGCACAAAAGGCCCCACCCTCTCTGCTCGTCCCGTAACTGCCCAACAGACGGGAGAAGTAATGGAATTGAGTCTTTTCTTCTCCTCACGGAAAAGGCAGACCGAGACTCACCTGAGGCAAGACCAACTCCAAGGAGAGTGCTGAGAATCACCAGCGGAAGAAACACTCCATGTCCCACGAAGGCCACGGCAAACGTTGAGGTGCTCTTTGGTGCTATCCTGCCATGGCACATCTTTTATCCGTCCAAGTTATTTTAAAAAGAAAAAATTTAAAAGCCAGAAGTAAGAATTCAAAAGTCAGCCCAGGGTAGATCCACCTATTAAAAAAAAAAAAAAAACAAGGACATAAGTAGAGTGAAAACTTTAGCCATAAGTTAGTTACAGCAGGCACTTCGGTAAAAAAGCCATAATCACATACAAAGTTGAAAGAATTCTAGCAACTGCATTCCTGCTGCCAGAAGAGACAAGAATGTAAGTGGCTTTTCAGCTCCTCACGGTGGGGGAAAAGCCAAGGACTGCAGCAAGCCGCCATCGGCGTCAGCATCCGGGAGCCAGTGCCTTGCGACAGGACAAGGAGACGAGCACCAGCTCACCTGGAGACGTCAGGTTCGGCAGAGCTTTCAGAAGCTGCCTGGCTCTGCCCGGCAGCGGCCTGCCTTGGAGGCTCCAGCAAAGAGGGGAGAGACAGCTGTTGACACAGAACTGCTACAGTGAGTCTGAGTCTGAGTCTGAGTCTGCCTCTGCCTCTGCCACTGGACTGAGAGCAAGTTCGACTGAGAAGAAAAAAATAAATAAAGAACACGTGTCTTAAAGGGAGAAACACACCGCCTAGAAAAGGAATGCAGCAGCAAGAGCCAAGGGCCCCTGGCTTGGCCTGCTCAACCACCAGAGGCTGGATGAGCCCCTGAGGATCTGGCTCTGACTCGACAGCCATGAATCTCAAAAATGGGCTAATTAATCAAGGCTCAGCCAACACACCTGTGACACCAGAGGCCACATCTGTTGGCTGTACTTGACAATGACTGAGCAGAGGGTGGGCTGTAATTGTTAATTAGCCCCACCACCTACTCTAGCTGGAAGACTTAAGAAGAACAGGAAATAATATCTTAAAAAAAAAAATCAGGGATCAAGACTTTTCAGGATTTTTTTTCAGCTTGCCTTGCCTTCAGGGCAGCAGAAGGGCTGATGATACATAATGATATGGGCCTATTATATTTTAATTAATTGATTTCATTTATCCTAGTTTATAACAGGTATTCCAAATAATAAGATTACACTTCCTTTTTAAATTCCATACACACCTCCTTCTCCAAAAAGGCTTTATGTAAATAGATAAGAGAGCCTGCCACCTACAACCCTAATAAAGAATGTCCCTGATATGAAAACGAACACATGTATGTATGTGCATGAGCGGGACATTGTGCTGTACATCAGAAACTGACACACTGTAATCGACAGTGCTTTAGTTAAAAAAGAAATGCCCCTGAGACTCGGCCAAAGATACTACCCAGACCTGACTTTAAGCCATGTATGAAGTCTTGACTCAGGCCTGTGCATCCCTTCTAAGGAGAGTTACTGCAAACAGCAATACAAATTGTCTCAGTTCAACGAAAAGCAGCATGAGCCAGGGGTTCAAGAACAGAGCTAGCCACTGGGCCCTCATCCACTACCCCAAACAGTTGTGCCTGTAGCAGTCTTCTGCCCCCACCTTTTACCCAGACTTCAACTTGAGCCTTTACAGCTGCAGAACAGATGGATCACCGAGAGGTCTAGGGGTGGAGTCTGTGAGTGATCCAAAACAGTACACAAAACTGTGTGTGCATACATGTGTGGAATGTGTAAACATTTATGTGGCTAAGAACGGTAGAGTCAGAATGCCAGAACTCAAATCTGTTTCCTCTATTATGACCTTGTGGCCAACTGACTCTCTTAGCCTCAGTTTTCTCATTTTAAAGTGGAGACAGTAACTGTACCGTATTCATAGAGTTGATGTAAGGATTAGGATCACATAAAGTGCTCGACACAGTGCCCACAGTGCCTGGCACAGTGCAAGTCCTCAGTAAACACCAGTTGCTGTTGCTGTTATAATTTTCAATAAGATCTGAGCATGGGGGGGACCGTGGAGGTCATCAGGTGTCACCTCCTCTTTTGACAGATGCCAAAACCAAGGTCCAAAGAGTTAAAGGATGTGCCCAGAGCCACCTGCCAGTTAGCAAATGGGCCCTCAGTGCTGCCGTTGTACATGCAGCCACAGCAGGTAACCCGACCAGGCAGTCATCATCCCCTCAAGGCAACAACCAGTGGATTGTTGAGAATGACACCTGCTTGTGCCACATTACAGCACGTGCACAACAAATACTTCTACAGTGAATGGACAAGGCCAGATCAGGCTGGTGTTTGGTGTTCTGTGCACAAATGGAGGTAATCAGGAAAGACTACCCAGAGGAGGTGAAGCTAAACTGACTGCTAAAGGATGTGTCCAGTGGAGATACCAAAGACAAGTGCCCACAGTGCAATGGAGCAACGGGAACAGAGCACTCCCGGCAGATGCTGGAGCACCCCTGGCAGGGGCTAGACTAAGTTTAAGCTCTATCCTGAAAACCATGTGGAGCTTACTGAGATTATAAGCAGGGAAGTTACAACACCTAATTCACTTAGGAAGCTCACTCTGGCAAGGAGTTTAGAGGACTGGCATGAGAAGGAGGTTACCAAGGGGTAAAGAATCTTACATTTAGTATTTTATAATTAACATAGAGCTCTTTGGAGGGCAGTGTGACAATCTCTGTCCCCAAAATGCACCTGTTCTTTGACCTATCAATTCTACTTCTATAATCTGTACTGAGAAATCACATATATGCATTGTTACACATGCAGGATATTCACTGCATTATTTTTTACTGGCAAAAGACTGAGGGGGGTACTAGTTAAACAAGTTGTCATATAACAGAACACTATGCAGCTGTTTAAAAAGAATTGGGTGGTTCAGTCTGTACTAACATGGAATAACTTATAAAATTAGTACACGAAGAAAAGCACTTGTGTGTATATATGTTTTTAAAGGATGGACACACATACACGTACACCCTTGTACGCACTGAAAATCTCGCCCTGGAACTGATGTACAAGAAACTGGTCCCTACCAAGTACCTTCAGGGAGGGAAACTGAGTGGCTAACAGTGAAGGAAACATTTTTCTTGGTATGTATTCCCTTTTAACCACCTTGAGTGTTGTATCCAGTGTATGCATTACCTATTCAAACAGATAAAATACTGAATAAAATTAATGTAACAAAGCCTTCCTGTAGACCATCTGTCTCCTCCCTCAACAAACTGATCGACACTCTAATAAACCTCATTGCTTCCTCTACCAGGAATACAGCCAGTTTCAGGGCTCAACACAAAGGTCACCTCCTGGAGGAATTCTTTTCTGACATGTCACATCATGCTCACTTCCAGTAGAACTAACCCCTTCCTTATTCCCAAAGTGTCCTGTGCACCCTGTTCTGACTGCACCTCTATCAGGTTATAACATCTGTTTACCTGTCTCACCTCACTAGGCTCAAAGTTCCTTGAAGGCGGGGACTGTGAATTCCTCAACTTGGAATCTTTAAAAGCTAGCACAGGGTTTGGCCCCTGACAGGCAGGCAGCAAATGTCTGCCAAACTCATGAATACTGTGGGGAGGAGCCAGTATGGAACTGGAGAGGAGATGCACACATATGAGCTCCTGTTTTGCTTTGTTTTAGAGAAACAGCTGGTTCTTCCCTTGCTGCTTAAGCAGCTACCTGGGCTGAGGGACCAGGTGAAGCCTAAGACCTGATCAAGTGCAGAACAAATGGGGTGACGGAAGTGAAGGCTTCACAATGAAAAGAGAAAGATGACTAGAGAGTAGTCAATACAATGTTTACATGCAAGGCTGAGCCAAGGAAGGGTTAGTGCTTCAAAAATATAGAGAAAATGAATCCCCACAATCCCGGAGTATCACCCAGAATGCGCAAACCCGGCTACTATGGAGAAAGAGTCAGGCTACATCTAATCATTTTAAGAAAGGACCTGCCTTTGACAGAGTTTAAAAAAACAAAATAAAACCTGGCCTTGAATTGTGGCCTTAGACTAAGTGAAAAGAAAAACATTTAGAACAAATTAAGACTAGGTATTCATTATTATCCCTAGAGAAACACACAGGTGAAAATCTATTTAAAAAAAAGATTTCATTTCACTTCAGTATTCTTTTGGTATGTTAGTGACTACTTACCCTTATTTTAAAAAAATTAGGATTAATTAAAGACAGAAAGCAGAATGGTGGTTGTCAGGGGCTGGGGCAGGGGCAGGAACTGGGAATTACTGTTTAACGGGTATAGAGTTTCAGTTTTGTGAGATGAAGAGTTATAGAGACGGATGGTGGTGATGGTTGCTCAACATTATGAACGTACTTAATATCACTCTTAAAAATGGTTAAGATGGTCAATTTTATTTTACATGAATTTTACCACAATAAAAAATTGGGGGGGGGGAATCATGATTAAAGAGGAACCTGGAACTAATAAGTCACACTTTCAAAGCCTGCACTCACCCATCCTCACAAGGCATTTAACATCTGAACTAGAGGTGATAAGAGAGGAGAGGGCCTGGGGTTACCAGCTGCCATCAGCCAGCCAGCTGATCACGCAGGCTCTCTGGCTTCCATTTTTACATCTAAAAACTGCTCTAAGGTCTCTCTCAGCTACAGAATTCTCCAGTGTCCAGGCTTCTCTTTGTATAATCCATCTCTTCCTCCAGCAGCCAAAACATGGGGTGAGGAGGAGTCAGAGAAAATCTGCATTCACCCTTCAGATTTTCCTTCTTGGGACTAACGCTGCTGCCCCAACAGCCTGTGGTACAGGGGGAACCCCATGAGCTAGAATGCCAGCCCCTTAAGGTCAGGATCTGGCCTTTCCCACCTCCGTGAACCCAAAATCTCAGAAGCTGGGTGACTGGTCTCTGCCGAATGTGATGTCACAAACACTCATTTCCTGTCCTGAATGATCCTCCAAGAGGAAGGACACTGCTCTTAAGCAATGGCTCTGAACTTGGGGAAGAAACTTCCCTCACCTCTGCCTCCATTTCCTCATCTGTAAAATGGGGCTGTTGCTTACTTTGACTATCTCACTAGCACCTAGTGAGGCTCAAAAGGGATAAGATATAAGGGACTTCTCTGTACACTGGTGATACTCAGGTCCTTCTATTTACAGTCTTAGCCTGTAAGCCAAGACAGCAGAGGGCTCTCTGAGAAACTGCTCATAAAAATGACAATGATAAGTGTGACAGGCTTCTGGTGTTAAGGAGAACCTGTAACATGAGCTCAAAGTTCACAGTTTGCTTGCTTGTTGTTGCCATAGATGCTTCCAGATTAACCAGAGTCTGCTAAGATTAAAGGTGTACTTAGAGTCACCTTCAAAAATGACTCACAGCCTAGGGAGGCAGCAGCAGTCAGTGGGGCCAGCCACAAAACAGCCAGGGCACCCAGGCCCTTAGACAGCACAGGGCCCAGATCTCAGCACCCCGTGTGCCTGGTTGCTTTGGGGCCTATCCTTGCGGATGGAGACTGTCACAGTCCTGCTGGAAGGGGATGGTCATGTCACACTCTACTGAGCTCTTCTCAGTGGAGACAAAAGGGTCCTGACTCAGGCAAGCTTGGCTCCCAGGTTCTCGGTGGGTTTCCCTACAGCTCTGTAAGCTCAACGTCAGTTCACATGTAACATTCAGGACAGATTCTTTC